GCCCCCCCCCCCTGCTGCAGCCCAGCGCCGCCGCCCGCGCCGCCGCCCGCAGCTGCCTCCCACAGCCGCCGCCCGCGCTGGCCGCGAGACACGTCCACGACACGTCCGCGACACGCTCGCGACATGTCCATGTCCACCCGACACATCCGCCCGACGCGCCCGCAGGCGCTCGCGTGTGAGTGGCTTCAGGAGACGGGAGGGAGCCAGCCCCTCTCTGGCGCGGGCGCGTCCGAGCCAGGCGGCGCGTCGCGCCACTCTCCGCGCTGCTGGAAGGTCGTCTTCCAGCTGGCCCACCGCCCGCCGCCGCAGCAGCCGCCGCAGCCGCAGCCACCGGCGGCGGCGACAGCAGCCACGGCGTCTCAGCCCCAGCAACAGCCGCCGCCGCCGCAGCCGTCCCAGCCGCCGCAGCAGCCGCCTTCAGACCCGCCGCCGCCGCCGCCGCCTCAACCGCCGTTGCTGCCGGGCTTGCCGCCGCCGCCGGAGGCAGGGGGCGGCATCCCTGTCTTGGGGGGGGACGCGGCGGGCGGGCTGCCAGCGGTGGGCGCAGCGCGAGACGCGTCCGAGACACTTCGAGACGCGGCGCGGTCGCCGCTGAAGCGGGGCGCCGACGAGGAGTGCGGGCGGCCCGCGCAGGGCCGGAGGCTCGGCGATGAGAGCGCGCCGGCGGCCGCCGCAGCGGCGGCCGACTCTCCGTCCGCAGAGAGTACGCCTGCGGCGATAGCTTCGGCGGAGCCTCAGCTTGTCGGCAGCAGCGAGGAGGTGGAGGCGATCCCGCGGCGCGGCGTGCTCGCGGACTACGTGGGGCGGTGGGGCTGGGGGTCGCTCCCCGACGGCACGCAGGAGCTGCTGAGAGACATCTTCGAGACGCTCCGCGGCCTCGGCCTGCAGTACTCTCTGCTCGAGCAGTGCGCGGAGGGGCGCACGGCCGACACGCTGCAGCTCTCCATCAACTTCTCCGCCGAGCCCGCCACCGTGCCGCTGCCGCCGCGCCCGCCGCAGGCGCCGCCCGCTTTTGCTCCGCCGCCGCCGCACGCGCCGCCGGCACAGCAGCACCGCATGCCTCCTCACAAGCTATGAGTGAGCCTGCGAGGGGAATGGGGCGCCTCCCCGCTGAGGTCGCGCCGTGTGCGGCCGAGGCGCGCGCGGGCGTCTTTCTGCAGAGAATGCCCGACGCGCCCCGGCAGCCGGCTCTGTGTGAGAGGCTGCGCAAACCCGCACACTCGCCCACATCGCATGCTTGTTTGAGATCTTGCTGAGGCTGAGCTAGAGATCTGTGGGGGGTGAGATTTACGAGAGGAGTCGACGCGTCGCGTATACGTACTGAAAAAACGAAATGTCATACTCTTAGACTGTCATAACCGAATTGCCTTCTTCTAGACACTGGTGTGTGTCGGGGTGTGATGGGACCGCAGGCCCTTGGCCTGTGCGCGGAAGGGGGGATCTGGACGTCCTGCGTCTCGGACTGCTTGCGGAGGCGGGTTGGCGTCAGCACCCGCAACCGGTCTAGGACCCATGAAGGGCGTCTTGGGCGTCCGCCAGCTCCGCCAGCGCCGCCAGCTCCGCCACTCGCTGGGAGTCCCGAGTCGAAAGGAGTGCGCTTCACCCTTCTAGAGCTCGTGTAGAGTTGGTGTCGAGGGTGAGCATGGCAGGATACAGGGGGAGCGAAAGGAAACTTAGCCCTTGAGGGACAGCTGTTGCGCCGCCCACTGCCTTCGTGCTGCGCCAGGCGTCAGCTTCAGCTCGTCTGCTGCGAGTTCCTCAAGCAAGTCGAGCTCGGCGAGCATGATGTCAACGGCGGCATCACCATCTTGCGTGGATGTGACTTCGGGCTGCTCACGGGGCACGCGGGTGCTCGAAGAGCAGAAGCTTCGCCGAGGCGGGAGCGGCGTCATCGGGGCCGCTGCTCTGTCATCAACCAGTCTCAACCCTCCATCAACGAGAGAAAAACGATTTATAGATCAACACTTTCGATAGACCGAAAGTAAGATCGTTCGGTGCAGAAACCCCGGCCATGCCCATGTAACGCAATTGTGCTCGATTTTGTTTGATTTTTTGGTAGAAGTGTCTCCAAGTCTTCTGGACCCATCGATGGCCGTCGCCTCGACGCCGCTCGTCGCGGCACCATCGTGCCCGGCCTGGGCGAAGCATCGTCGCGGGCGCCAGCCGCAGTTCGACGGCAAGCCGTGCGAGCCTGCTAAGGAGGAGGACATGTGGCTGTGCCTGGCCGACGGCCGCGCGCGCAGCACCGCCGACCTGAAGCGCCTGGCGACAGCCGCTCGGGTGCGAGCGAAACGAGCAAGAGATGCAGCCGCCGCGAACACGCGCGATCGGCAGGCGCGCGACCAGCGCCGCCGGCAGCGTGAGCAGCACGACCGGCGCGCAGCGCCGGCGGTCGCCAAGACCGTGCGCCCACAACGCGGCCAGTGCGGCTGCCCGGCGCACGCGGTGTGCGGCATGTGCGTCGACCAGGGCAAGCTCGCCGCGGCCGAGCAGGCGGCCATCGACCTGGAGACGCGCTTCCACGCCTCGACGAACGTCGTCATGGACCTGGAGCGGCCCGAGGACGAGACGGCGGCGCTGCTGCAGCGCTGCGTGCACGTCTCCGACGAGACGAAGCGGCGGCTGCTGGGCGAGTGGAGCGACGAGCGCATGGCGCACGCGCTGCCGCTGCACGCATGCGCCTCGTGCGGCGTGCGGGACCCGTCGCTGACGTACACGCGGGTTGACGTGTCGGCGCTGCCGCGCACTGTGTCTGTGCGCGTAGCCGGCGGCGAAGACGAGACGCGGCACGTGTTTGAGCTCTCGCCCGAGCAGTGCGCTAAGTATCGAGGTCTTCAAAACAAAAAGGTGCGCCTTGCGTTTCCCAACGGCGCGAGCAACGACCGTCCCAACGGCGACGGTACGCACGAATTCCGCGACACCGACATCTCGCGCGTCATCAGCTGCTGGGAGTCGGACGACGGCACGCTCTACCACCTGCACCCCGAACTCGTCGACCGCCGCGCAAATGAGCATGGCGTGATGGTGCCGTGCGCGATGCTGTGTCAATGGTGTGGTGACCAAGCCGACGCACGAAACAAGGAGCCCAAGGCACCCAAGCTCTCCTTGGCCGCTGGCATCGACTACGGGTCGCTGGCTCGCGTGCGCGAGCTCACGCCGCTCTCCGAGGTCGAGCGCATGCTGGTCTCGGATGTGCGGCTCTACCATGTGGAAAAGGAGTTGCGGTGTTGATCGCCGCGGGAGCCCTCTTATTCCCCCAGCGACAGTCCGCTGCTGCGCATCGCTGTCCTGGGCACTCGACTGGAGAGCGACTGGTCGTGCGGCTGGCAGGATTGGGCTCAAGCATCAGTGCTCGGGGCACCTTGGGCGGCGGCGGTGGAAGCGGCTTTGGTGGCGGCTGCGGTGTCTGAGGCGGCGGCGGCGGCAGCGGCAGCGGCGTGGGAACTGCCGCCGCAAGGGGCGGCGGCGGCGGCGGGGGCGGCGGCGGGGACGTCGGTGGCGGCGTTGGTGGCGATGGTAGATGCTGCGGCGCCACGGCTGATGTCGACGAAAGTTGCAGCCCAGCGCGACTGCAGACACGCGCCAGCAACAAGAGGATCATCGCGGTGAGGCGGACTGGACTGAGGGTCGCTCGAAGCAGCGCCACGTGCGCCCGCACGAGGTGGTGGATCGCCGCTGCGTGGAACGCGTCGAGTCTGCTGGACGTCGTGTGCAGCGACTCCAGCACTCCCATCACAAGCCCCCCCCCTGCTCTTCCAGCCGGAAGGAGAGCGCCGGCGCCGGCGGAACTGGGGCTGGAGAGGTGGGTGACGGGATCCGGGTGAGGCGAACGGAACGCGGGTCTCGCCATTGGCCTGGTCGCTGTGGTGTGCAAGGAGAGCACAGTGTGGATCACAATGAGCGCCGCCATCGGGGCGGTCGCCGCGAGCGGGGACGAGGGACGCGCGAGCGATTCCCTTTTACTTTGGATGAAAGCTCATTACCGCTTGCCATAGCGCGTCAGACGTGTTCTTTCAGCACTTGAACACATAACGGGTCGAATCCGATCGTCTCTCTTCCTCCCGCGAGGTATCCTGAATGAGGCGTTGTCCAGGCGCCCACCTCCTTGCATTCCCCCTGTTCGCTCATGGAGTTCTGTCCTCTGTACTTGTTGGAGCGGCCACGTCTGCTTCTCCAGATCCTTAGAGGAGGAGCTCTGAAGCCAATCTTGACACTGCGATCTGCAGCTCTCGCTTCGCCAGCATGCAACAGCTCCGCCCTCGCAAGCGCCACCGCCGTGTCAAGTAGTGGTCGCCCTCTCCTCCTGCGGCACTCGCGGCTAATCTTGCAAAAGCGCTCGCCTCAAGTTCCTGTCATCATGTTGACAAAGTCGACGTAGTTCACCCGCCTATCAACGTTGAGGGGTTAGAGACGCCGTCTCGGCTTGCCAAAGCCGCCGCAGGTGACGCGCCCCGCGCTGTCAGGCTCGATCAGCGAAAGCAGCGCGCGCGCGTCAGCTAGGGGGAGCTTCTCCGAGCCGTAGGTGGTCAGCGCTGCAGGTGAAGAAGAAGGGTGGTAAGTCTCGGCGCGCTGGTTGAGCTGGTTGGCGCGCTGGTCCCGGCCGAACCCACAGCGCGAATGCGTTGGCAGCAGCGGCAGGAAAGAGAAGCATGACGATGCGAGAGAGGTGCATCTACCGTTGTGCGGCAACCTCGCTCGAGAGCGGCCATCGTAACGTGGCCCGAGCCGACTCCGCTCTCCTCGAAGCACTTGAAGGCCGCCTCGACAGCAGTGGTAGCGGCGGTGATTGCAGCGGGTGGTGAGGGAGGCGGCAGGCAAGTGGAGCGGACGGGCGGGATGTGGCAGGGAGGAGAGGCAGCAGCGAGACGCGATTCGATAGACGAGAGAGGGAGAGGCGGTGCGAAGAGGTGTGGCAGTATGGCCTCCGCCGCCTTGACTCTCTCCGGTGTCACCCCATTGACTTGCCGGCCCATGATCGTCACAAACTCTGCTCAAGGGCGGGGGGCGTGCGTCAGAGGGCGCACTCCCGTTTCACATCCCGCACGCCGCGCCGTCAAAGTCGATCTCGCCATTGCCATCCTCGTCGATCTCGGCGACCATCGCGTCTAGCTCCTCCTGGGGAGCAGATGTGAGGGGTGGCATTTGAGGGGCGCGGCCGCCTGCCATCACATGCTGAGCCATTCCCCGACGCCTGGTTGGGCTTCAAGCCCAGCGTATTCATCAGTGCCAGAAGCTCATCCTTGGAGATTGAGCCGCCCTTGTCCAGGTCGACCTACAAGCAAGCTCTCCTCCACCTCCGCACATCATGTGCGTATGCAGCAGAGCACTGAGGTTGCTCGAGCAGACGGCATGTGCAGCAGTTTGCAGCGTGTGGCAGCGTGTGGCAGCTGCGCGCCGCGCGCCAGGTTGAAAATCTCTCGAAACTCGGCCAGTTCCTCCTCGCTCAGGTGCGCGTGCTTTGGCATCGGCGGCCGGCTCGATGTCGTTACGAGTGCGAGGAGTGTGTTGGGGCCTTGACAAATGACAAGAATTACACTTTGCGGCCCTTGCCCTGCGAACGCGCACCCCCAGGGCTAGGGCTCTCTTGCCCGCAACCCGATGCCAATCATCCGGACCGCTGGGTGCGCTTCTTAGCTCCCCGGCCCTGGATGTGCGGTTAATGACTGCACTCCAAGTACTCCAAGTACACCGAGCTCCGAGGGCGAGGCGCGCAAGAGATAAATAAAGAGGTTTGCACTTCCGCCCTCTCCCCCGCCTCCCTCTCCTCTGGCGCCAAGCCCTCCGCCCTCTCCTCCGCCTCCCTCTCCGCTACCACCGTCTCCGCCACCTCCTTCACCTCCGCCTCCCTCTCCGCCGCCACCGTCACCGCCACCGCCAAGCGCCATCGCCTCCACCGCCGCACCCGCCACCACCCTCTCCGCCACCACCATCCCCACCACCGCCCTCTCCGCCACCACCATCCCCACCACCGCCCTCTCCACCTCCACCAAGCTCTCCGCCCTCACCTCCGCCTCCCTCGCCGCCACCACCATTTCCGCCACCGCCCTCTCCGCCATCGCCCCCTCCGCCACCACCCTCTCCGCCTCCCCCGTCGCCGCCGCTGCCCTCTCCTCCTCCATCAAGCCCTCCTCTCTCGCCCCCGCCTTCCTCTCCACCGCCGCCGTCCCCCCCACCGCCTTCACCGCCGCCGCCCTCTCGTTTGCCGCCCTCTCCACCACCACCCTCTCCTTCGCCGCCCTCTCCTCCGCCACCAGGCCCTCCCCCCTCACCTCCGCCTCCCTCTCCGCCACCACTATCTCCGCCGCCGCCCTTTCCGCCATCGCCCTCTCCGCCACCACCCTCTCCGCCTCCCCCGTCGCCGCCGCCGCCCTCTCCTCCTCCATCAAGCCCTCCTCCCTCGCCCCCGCCTCCCTCTCCACCGCCGCCGTCCCCTCCACCGCCTTCACCGCCGCCGCCCTCTCGTTTGCCGCCCTCTCCACCACCACCCTCTCCTTCGCCGCCCTCTCCTCCGCCACCAGGATACCTCTGGGCCATGCCTGTGATCAACCTCATCGACAGAGACCGCGGGGGCGGGCGCGATTCCTCGACCGAAGAGAGCTGGCCCCACCTCCCGGGGAGGGGCGGCGTGGCGATCCAATGCCGCCGCCCTCGCCCGAGGAGTCGGGCACGGGATCGCCGGAGGCGGAGTCAACAGGAGCAGGCAGAGAGGGCGAGACGGCGGCGGGGCCGCGGCCGAAAAAGGCTAGGCGAGGGGGAGCCGGGCCCCGCATCCGTTGCCCAACCAGCGGAAAGCGAGTGGGGGGAGGACCGAGAGGATAGGAGGGCCCCTCCGGACCGAGGGGGGGAGGCCGAACGGAGAAGCCCCGAGGGGTGACGTCGAGTGAGGATGTACGTCGTGTGCGTGTCTGGTGTTTATTAGCTCCGAGTAGAGGGGGCGCTCCGCTGCTAGGGGAAACCTGGAGCGCGGACTAACCCTCGGAGACCCGTGTTTACTTTACGGCCCTTTCCCTGCGAACGCGCACCCCCCAGGGCTAGGGCTCTCTAGCCCGTAAAAAAAAAGCCGTGTACGGCTTTAACCCGATCGGCCGATCATCCGGCCCATGTGAGGTTACTGACTGCACTCCAAGTGCTCCAAGCACGAGAGAGATATTTTTAGGTACCGAGTGGAAAAGTCTAACTTCTCCCACTCACACAAGGTCGTGGGGGGGGAGGGGGGGAGGGGGGGGGTGATTAAAAACTCCGGTCACCCCCGACGTCATTGGTCTGCGGCAGGGGCACCCTCCGCCACATGCTCGCGGTTGCTGCTCCCAGCGCCGCGAGCCATACCATCGCTGCAGCCGGCACCGCTGCGGCGCGCGGAGAAAAGTGGCGCAACGCCAGCACGTACGCTAGTGTCGGCGACTTTATCATCGTCTCGATGGTCAGCGTCCGCGTGACTCGCTCGGGCAGCCGTGCAAGCTTTGCAAGAGCGAGGGCGACCGCACCTCCGGCGAGTGGGAGCGCGACCGCAGCAGCATGAGCGCGCCAAGCTCCGTCGGACGCGACGAGGAGCGAGGCGGAGGAGGAGGCGCCGCCAGCGACGAGGACGAGAGTGGAGAGCACGCCCACCGCAGGGCAGAGCGGAGCGACGCGGGCTACGAGCGCGGGCAGCCGCAAGCCCATCGCTACTCCGAACAGGAGCGGAACAAGCACCAGCGAAGCGACGGAGCGGAGGACCCCCGTCGCATCGACGGGGATGGAAACGCCGCCGAGGAGCAAATGTGCCAAGCACGGCGTGGCGAGCACGCCCAGCAGCGTCGTGGTTGTGGTGGCGACGACGGAGAGGGCGGCATCTCCGTTCGCGAGCAGCGCGAACAAATTCGACGCCTGCCCACCGCTGACGGCGCCGAGCAGCACGACCCCTGTCAGCATCTCCGCGTCGCATTTCAGCGCCGACCCGACAGCCAGCGCCGTCAGTGGCATGAGTCCAAAGCAGCAAAGACTGTTGAGTCCCAGGACCCGCACCTCGCCAACCGCGCAAGCAAGCTCCGCGGGAGTCGTGCTGAGCCCCATCGCCAGCATGAGCGTCGCCAAAGCGCGCTGCACGACGGGCAGCGCGCTGAGCGGGCGGAACGAGGAGGGGCGGCTCACGCCCACCAGAGCGACCGAAAGGGCCCACAGCGGCGAGTAGCGCGTGAGGAGGGCGCAAACGCGCTGCAGCGCGGCGGGGAGCTCCTTCCGCGGGGGAGGCCCTCCGTTGCACGCGAGCGGAGGCGTCGCCCGAGGAGCCGCCGCGCGCCGAGTTGCAGCGCGGGCCAGCCGCGGCGCCGGAAGCCCTCGCCGGCAAGCGGTAGCGGCCGTGCAGCCGCCTCGTGAGACAGCCGTGTGCCGTGTCCGGGTCGCAGCAGCAAGCGCACGCGGCGAAGGACGAGGTGCACCAACCCCGCAGTTTGCACGGGTCACGGTTGCCGGGCTCACAGCGGCCGGCTGCGCCCCAAACTGGACGACGCTTTCGCCCCCACAGCGGCCGCCTCCTCCCAGCCCGCCGCCGCCGCCGCCTCGCACGTCCTCTCTCCGGTTACGGAGGAGCTTGTTGTACGCCTGCTTGCCGCACGCCTGCGACACGAGGCGCGAGAGCCGTCGGTGGCAGGCTCGGGGCAAGCTCGGGGCAGGCGGAGAAACGGCGGCGGCAATGCCGGCGGCGTCGGCGGCCAGAGAGGGGGAGGGCAACGCAGCGGGCGACGGCGGTGGAAGCGGTGAAGACCTCGCCTGTGAGAGAAAACGCGAGAGCCGCCGCACGGGCATCCCCCCCGCGCCAACGTCGCGCCCCCCCGCACACCGCGGCGCCCGTTGGCCGCGCGCCTCGAGCAAATGGGCGGCCGTGCCCCAAGTCGCCTCGAAGACGTCCCAGAGCGCCTCCGCCTCCGCCTCCGCCTCCGCCTCCGCCTCCGCCAACGCAGACGCCTCCTCGGCGAGCTCTTCCGCGAGGAGCGCCTAAGCAAGCAAGACTGGCCGCCGTACAGACAGATGTGCGGCGCGAGGCCTGGGCCCTCCTCCGTTGAGGAGCGCCAGCGGCATCAGCACCGCCGGCATCGCCGCGCCGCCCGCGAGCGCCGCCAGCGCGTGCCGCTCGTACCGTGCGAGCGCTTTCCCGGCCAGCTCCGCCACCGCAGAGGGGGGCATTTGCAGCACCGCCTACGAGCGCGAGCCTCCGGGGCTGAACCTCCCTCCTTCTCCCCCCTCCGCCCCACCAGCACAGACACGACTCTTGGGAGCAGACTCTCTTGCTTCTCTCTTCTGGCCGCACCGCCTCGCCCGCCGCCTCGTCCGCGCGCTGCGCCGCCGCAACCTGCCGCGAGTGGCGTGCCTAACCCTAACCCTAACCCTGACCCTAACCCTAACCGCGACCTGCCGCGAGTGGCGTGCCTAGAGCCGGCACGCGACATCCGTGTCAGTCAAGGGCGATGTGACAACGCCTTGCTTCTCTGCGCCACGCGAGTCGCGCGCCAAGTCGAGGGGCCGCCGCAGGACGGTGCGGCCGCACATCAGACCATCGAGCCGCGTCGCCGCCGCGTCCTGGAGGTCGGACGCAGACAGGCCGCCGTTGAGGGTGATCCGCAGGCCTGGGAACACCTCGGCGAGCCTCCGCACGAGATCAGGCCGGAGTGGAGGGACCTGCGGACCGAAGCTTGACGTCAAGCGTCTGTGCGCTGATCAAAGTGCCTCGGTGCTCGTGTCTTCGTTGCCATTCATTGTCCCAACAAGGGCAGGGGCGAGGCACCTGTCGGTTCTTGGAAGGGCTGAGGCCGCCGAGGATGGCGGCACGCGCGTGAACGACGACGTGGGAGACGGCGCCCGTGTTGGAGATCTGGTCAACGTACTCCGCGAGCTCCTCGAAGGCGGTCTCCGGCACTCGCCCACCTGCGGCACACAGCCCGGACGTGTCACGGACATGTCTTGGACGGGCGCAAGGCGTTCTCCGCCAATCGCCCACACCGGCGAGAAGAGACGCCCTGGCGGCGAGGCGGCACTTGACCGAGACGGCGCCGCCATGCGCCTCCGCCATCGCCTCGGCGAGCGAGCGCGTGCGGTGGCCGTCGAGCATAAGGCTCGCCTGGAGGGGCGAGAGGGGCGAGGCTTGTCTCCGGGCGAGAGGGAAGGGTGCCGGCGGGTCCTGAGATGGCGAGAGCGCGCCCCGTAGCTAGCCCCGCCCGTCTCGACGGATGGGCATCCCGCGTTGAGGTTGATCTCGTCGAAGCCGAGTCCAGCCGTCGCACGCACCGCAGAGGCCAGCTGCGTGGCGCCGCCGCCGCCGAGCTGCAGCACGAGCGGCCCGCGCTCATCATCCGGGCGCAGCGATCGCAAATCGACCGCCGAGGGCCGCTGCAATCCTTCAGCCTTCTCCATCTCAGTCCACAAGACCGCGGATGGGCACAGCGGCCGGAGCAGGGCGCGCAGGTGCTGGTTGGTGTAGCACTGCAGCGGCGCGACGTGAAATTGAACGCCGCACGAAGCCAGAGGAATACTTACAGCCATCACGTCGTGGGAGGTGCAGTGACAAGCTCGCTGCAATGCGCACTCGGCTTGGCCTCGGGCTAGGCCTTTGTGCGGTGCGTTTGGCTGTCGGGCGTGAGCGAAGCGTGCGTCTGTTGACAAAGTCTGTGCAGGTGTGAACAGCAGCTCCTGAGCACGGCGCCGCAGGCGCCTGTTGATAGGTCCAGATGATAGCCCTGGATGGGCAATGCATACGCCTACTTGGGCCTCAGATCGCCCGACCGCGTCCCGGTGCTCTGCGTTCGGATTTGTGACGCCGCCGCACCGCGCCGCGGCCGGGGGCCCGCCGAAGGACGAGGATGGCCGTGACGGACCGGGACGAGCTCTTGGAGGTTCAGTGTCAGTGTATATATTGTAGATATTACCCTAGCATCGGGCTCCAGTGGCACTACCACCATCGAGCCCTGCACGCTAATCCGACACTGTACGGACTCATCCACAAGCCTCACCACCTCGCACGCTACCCGATCCCAGTTGACGCGGGCACCGAATCGCCCATCGAGCTGATGATGCATGAAATCACTGCTCTCACGAGCTTGACGCCCTTGGCACTGTGGGCTCCGATTACTTTCTTTCGAATCTTTGGGGAGATGACGAGCCATGACATTACTATTGGCGACAAGCTGATCCGAGACGGACGCCACGAGGAACAAGATGCGCACCACCTGCTTCACCACACGACCAATAACGTCAACATGTCCGTCCCAAGCCTGGACCGCTGGTCAAACACAATCATCGATGCGGCCAAGGTGAAGCCCCCGATGGGGGTGGCAGGTCTGCCTCCCAAAAGGGAGAGCAGGGTGGAGCGCTATGCGCGGATGCTGATGTACAGGACGAAGGCGCTAGACTGACAGGCACGCGACCGCAGACAGACCCCCCCCCCCCTTCCACCCCCTCCTCCCCCCTCACACGCTGTCTGTTCTCGACTGCCGTAAAAGAAAGAAAGAAAACAGACAACCCAGGGAGGGCGGCACGGGTGGGCGACGGCTAGCACCACACTCCTATGCCGTAGCAGTTGATGACCTGGACGGGAACGAGTGCCGCGCCGCGTGCAACGCCGTACTCTGTGCCACCGGCAATGGAAGCACAGAGAGTCCCATGGCTCGAGCACGTTTCGCTCGCTCCGGCAGCAAGGACCCCATGATGGCGCCAGCTGTCGCCACACTCAGTCTCGTTGCCTGTCTGACAACCTGCCGACCAGCCTCGGAGTGCACGGTTTCCAAAGTCCCCATGGGTGATGCGGACGCCCGTGTCGAGGATGTAGATACGTGCCCCAGAACCGTTGATGGCATGGTCAGCATGCTTGGCCTCGTGCCCGTCGCGCGAGAGGACGCGTTCGAGGCCCCAGTTGCGAGTGCTGACGCTAGCAGCGTGGTCGGCAGCGAGCGACTCTCTCGGGTGGAGGCGGATGAGGCAGTTCACGATCACCTCACCCACCTCTGGATCGTGCAGCAGCGCCTCGACTTCGGCGTCCGCCAGATGGGGGGTGACAAGGGACTGAGTGAGCTGCAACTCGCGCAGGGGCGCGTGCTTGACCGAACCCGGGCTGATGAGCTTCTTGACGCGAGCGCGCAGCCTATTGTGAGACCAGAGTTGGCATCAACGCTGCTCAGCAACGCGCAGGTACGCTGCATCGTTAGACGCCTTTGAATCGTCACACGGCGGTGGCGGTGGCGGCAAGACAGCGAGCTCTCTAATGGTAGGCACAGCTGGCCCTTCACGTGTTCAGAGGCGAACTGCTTTGACGCAGGCGCTGCCTGAATGATGTATCCGTCGTTGCCGGTGGCGCAGCGCGCCTTGGAGAGCTCAAGCCTGCGACGGCGCTCCGATGGAGCCGTCGTCGCTGGATGGCCTGCGGCTATCGCAACGATGAACCAAGCGTGCGTCCCCTTGCCCCGCATCGCTGTGCCACCAAATCGACCGTTTCCCGGTGGCCAGCACTCAAATTTACCAAGATTTTACCGACACATAAGCGGGGCCCGGAGGGGTGTTCACATCGCGCTCCCCGCTCCCGTTCCCTTGCCCTGGATGGGTGGGTGTGAGCTCTCGTTTGTTTGCCAACAATACACCAAAACAGCAAACCTAAGAAAAAAACCTGGTATCACAGCCAGTATTGCGGTGAAGCAGAGAATACTTCTTGTTGATTTTCAAAACCCCTCCTACTGGAACAAAGAACCTCAAACTGGAACGTCAGAGCCACACAGGAAAAAAAATATTGTCCGTGTGTGAATCTTATTATTAACAACGAAGGCGCTCTAAAAAAATCTGTTTTGGCTTGTCGGCTCGGTGGTCCCTCGGTGCGCTGCCGGTGAGCGGAAAGCCGATCGGTGAGCGGTAGCCGATCGTGCCTCAGACAACCGCTTTTGCCTTGGGTCCATGGTATCCACCGTCACTGGGAGCCAGACTCCAAAAGAGTGCGAGCACGAGTTCACTTTCACCGACTGCATGTACACCGTGGGCAAGGGCGAGAAGGCCAAGACGCTTGTGTCAGACATCTCCGGCCGCGTCGAATCTGGCTTGATATTATCCATCATGGGACCGAGCGGTGCGACACCGCTGCCCGCCGCCGCTGCCACGCCTCCGCCAGCCCGTCCGCACGACGCCGCTGCCCCAGCCCGCTGCCACGCCTCCGGCAAGCCCATCCGCACGACCGCAGGTGCTGGCAAGACGGTGCTGATGAAGATGCTCACCCTCGAGGCGGGCCCTGGCAAAGCGCACGGCTCGCTCCGTCTCGATGGCCAGCCCTTCACGCCCGCCCTCTACAAGCAGCACTGCGCCTTTGTCGCGCAGCATGACTCGCACGCGGCGTTCCTAACGGCGCGCGAGCACCTTGCCATCTCCACCTCGCTCTACCAGCACCAACTCGGTCCGGCCGAGCGGGCCGCCGCGGTCGACGAGCTGCTCGAGCACATGGGCCTCACATCGTGCCAGCACACGCGCGCCGGCAACGAGCTCGTGCGCGGGCTCTCGGGCGGTCAGAAGCGGCGCCTCTCGCTGGCGGTCGCGCTCTCGAAGAACCCTGCGCTCATCTTCCTCGACGAGCCGACCTCGGGGCTGGACGCTGCCGCCGCCGCCTCCATCATGACTTTCCTCAAGGAGTCCGCCTCGGTCAAGCGCACCGCCATCCTCTGCACCATCCACCAGCCCTCCTACAAGGTCTTCTCGGGCTTCGACGACACGCTCATCCTGGCCTCCGGCCGCCCAGCGTACTACGGCCCGGCAGCGGCGCTGGGCGAGTACTGCGACTCGCTGGGCGAGCCCGTGCCGCCAGGCAACAGCCCGGCGGAGCACATGCTCGAGCTGGTCAACAAGGACTTCCGCAGCCCCGAGGCGGTCGGCCTCGTCCTCGACGCGTTTCGGCCGACGGCCGGGCCGGCGGCCACGCACGCCTTCTCCCCGCTGCCCAAGACGAATCAGGCGCCCTTCCCGAGGCAGACCTGGTGCTTGCTGCGCAAGCTCTGCAAGCTCACGTACAAGGACCCGACCCTCTACCTCGGGCGGGCGGTCGCGTTCCTCCTCGCCAACAGCTTCTTCGCCGTCGTCTACATCCGCGCGCGTGTCGTCAAGCAGGAGCAGATCGTCTCCCGCATGTAATGCCTGCTTCACCGTCGCCATACACACACGTGGAAGGGTGTACCCCACACGTAAGCACTCCCCTCTTAGGTTCCTCACCATGTGGCTCGTCGGCGTGCCAGCCGCGCTCGGCGTCGTGAGCACCTTCGCGCTCAACGGCGAGGTGCAAGCCGTGCGGCGCGAGGTGCGCGACGGCATGTACCACCCGGTCGCGTACGTGCTCGCACACACCTCGCTGCAGCTGCCGATGATGGTCTTCCTCGCCATCTCGGCCATCGGAGTGCCCGCCTACGCCATCGCCGACTTCAACGCGTCCAACTTCGTGCAGTTTACGCTCGTTTACGCGCTGATGCTGTGGGCCTTTGAGTGCATCGCCCAGCTCTGCTCGCTTCTCCGCAACCTTCTGCTTGGCATGCTCGGTTTCCTCAACACCTGGTTCGCGTCCTTCCTCTTCTGCGGCATCTTCCTCCGCAAGACGGACGTGATCTGGCCCTTCCGCGCCTTCACCTACCTCCTCCCCCTCGCGTGGGCGTTTCCCTCCCTCAACTACTTTGAGTTCATCGACTATGAGAGCATCGGGGGCGCCGAGGCGTGCTCCAACGTGACCGAGGCCGGCTGCTTTGACGTCCTCGGCGCAAACGGCCCGCCCTTCCGCTGCCCCGACCTCCAGCCGCAGCAGTGCCTCGGGCTCACCGGGCCCCAGGTCCTTGTCTCCCTCGGGGAGACGTACGAGATGATCGACCTCGACGTCAGCACCGCGCGAGAGGCCCTGATCAGCCTCGCCATCGCGGTCGGATGGAAGCTGCTCTACACCGCCTGGCTGATGCGCCAGTGCAACGAAACCGCTGTCCCATCGACCCGTGGGCGTGGCAAGTCCGCCGCGTCCCCGGAGCCTCCGGCGCGCCGCGACGCCTCCGCCGTCTGAGGAGGAGGCTCGGCGCGCCGCCGCCGCCGCGCAGTCTCGCCCCCGAGAAGCGGCGCAGAAGAACCAAGCACTAGCGGGCGACTACCGTGCTGACCCCGTCTGGCCGTGACTTTGCACAACTTTGGCTGGCACCGCATTGATTTCATGTACGTTTGGGGTGTGGTGTTGTGCGTGAGTGAGAGCGCATGAGCGATGTGGTTCGATGGGTGTAACATTCGGACACTGGGGCACTGAGAGATGTGACACTTTGTGACTTGATGTGGACCCACACCACACAACACTCAACACGCAGTTGGAGCTTGGACATGCAAATGCACATGAATCATCATGATCTAAAAAAACCTCGGACATTTTACCAACTCCTTGGCGACGTGCGCGTCGCGTCGCCAAGGCTCTGCGACCTCGGTCGTACAATCGGCGACCTCGGTCGCACAACCGGCCGGATGCGCGGGTTTTCAGCCAGTAGGTGGATTGTCCAAAATACGTCAGCCTCGCACGCCTAGCGCTAGGTCTGACACCCGACCGCCGCCCCCTCCCTAATATTAGCCGGTAGGAGCACATTTTGGCCGGCTAATGTTAGGGAGGGGAGGCCGAAAAACGCATACTTTTGTCCACCTACCAGGTGCCATCGCCACGTTTCCGTCGGATGAATTATGTGGAATCGTACCCCTCGGTGGTTTCCAAACCTATTCAAAAATGGACGCTTACAGAAATCGGCAAAAATTCAACCGTCACAACAACATTGCGAGAGACGAGGAGTGACTCTTGCTCAAGGATCACGGTGCGCTATCTGGGCTCGGAGGTCGGCAAAAAGGTCGCGCGACCCGACACCAAGGGGGAGTTGCTGGCCGCCAAGAGGCTCAAGCATGACCAGAGAACGGGGCATTGCACTACATAGTGCGGGACCTGGGCAGCAACCAACAACCTGGATGGGGACGGGGTGCTGCGCAACCGACGCCAACCAGCAGCGTGGTCACAGCACAGTGCGAAACTAGGGTTGCAACTGGGCCTTGTCCATGCATTCGCGCAAGAGTCCCAATCAATCTCCCAACCGATTCTCCTTCTGCCTGTGGGACCAGCCCTCCGAAGCCTTGACCGCGTCGCGGCGACAACATGCCTTGGCGCGCTTCCCCTCTGGTGTACGGTAGCACGTCTGGCGCGAATGGCTACGGCCTTGCTCTCCACGACCACGGTCTCGTCCATGAACCTCGGTTGGTCAGGAGCCATCTCCATGTCCCCCGCTACTGTAGGTGGGCGCCGCTCGCGCACACCCAGTTGCAACCGTCAACTCTAGACCCCGTCAACTCTAGAGTGTCAACCACGACTCCCGACACGGGAACACTGCACCTCATTCAGCCACATATACCCGCCGGGCGTGTCCTCTGTCCTGACTCGACACGCGGCGACGGCGACTAAGCAGCCTGCGAGCTCACTGCCCTGCCTTGATTCCTTCGGACCACTTTAAGTCTAAACCACTCTACCACTACCTATCCCATCCATTACCGTGCCCCATGTTCAAGTGCGGCCGTTTTACCAGGCGCCCAACCGACGGCCGCGCCGCGATTTTTTTGCCTGCCCCGTCTTCGCCGTCGCGCGACGACCACGCCGGTGTCAGAACTTCGCTGTTCTTTTTTTCTCAGCTAAGTGCCTCGCCGTCCTCGCGGGAGTCGCTTAGGCGGCTCCAGTGGTGTACCTGTGTTAGTGCCAGTGCGCGCCAGTCCCGTGCCCAGTGTTGTGCGAGGGCGGGCTTGTAAAATTCTTTTTTTCTCCCTTCTCTTGGTAAAGAACTCGCTCGCTGTGGGTTGTGGCCGACCCCAATAGTGCTGCTCTGAATCCGTTGTGGGCCAAGGAAACGCGCATGCCGCCGCCGCCGCGATCCTGCGTCGCCTGCAAGAATTCCAAGACCAAGTGCGACTTTGACCCGCGGAGCGGCAAGAAATGCACGAGGTGCGCGCGAATTGGCCTGCGGTGCGAGCAGGCGGTGCCCATCAAGCAGGGGAGGAGGACGGTGGGTCACGTGGGCGCGAGCAGCGTCGCTGCCGTGGGCGGGCACACCATACACAGCTACATTGGCGGCCAACCCACGTGCCACATCAGCGCCTCGCAAGAGTGCGCGGCGGCGTTGGCGGCGGCGGCGGCGCATCCGCCACTGATGCAGCACAGGGCTGGCGGCGGCGGCGGCGCGGTCGGCGCAATCGGCGCGGAGGTCGCGGTCGGTGCAGTCTGCGCGGAGGTCGCGGACGCGCCGGGCGGGGAGATCGAGCAGTCCATCGCGTTCCTCCGCAGCTTCGTGCTCCGGCCAGACGGAGAGGGCTCGCCGGCGCCGCTGGCTCGCATGCGGCTTCGACGGCGACGAGCCTTGAACACCCTTTCGGGAGCCTTCCTACAGGCGCCGGACTCGCTGGTGTTCATGCTGCGCTTCAACGCGGCGGTCGCGCGGAGCCGCAACTCGTTCGACGCGATGAGCGGCGAGATGCAGCCGAGATGACCGCCGAGGGTAGAGCCGAGACAGAGGAGAGATGGGCCGAGACAGAGGAGAGATGCGGCCGAGACAGAGGAGAGATGCGGCCGAGGCCGAGATGCAGTGCTCGCGGCAAGCCGAGCTCGACCGCGCTTGCAGGCGTCCTCCGCGCGTGCAGTGCGCTGGGTGTGCCGCTCCGGCACGTCCTCTCCATGCCCGCGGCGGGGCAGGTGCGGGGTAGGCGGTGCGGTACCGGGGTCCAGCATAGCTCCCCCGAGTGTGTGAGTCGAAGCGAGCTCTTGGTCCTCTTCCTACGCACATCCCGCCACCCCTCTCTAGCGGGTGCTCGACCAAGACACAGCAGGGTTTGCAGGTGTCGGTCGAGCTGCCTCTCCCTCCCCGCCACCTTGCCTGAGCCTTCTCGACGCCCCGTCCTGCAGGGGGCGGCAGGACCGCTCGAGCTGCCGGGCGATGCGCAGGCGATGCTCCACTGCTCGGCGGGGTACGTGCACGTGCGGCACTTGCGGGACGGCGCGCCGCCCCTAGCAGCGGAGGACGCGTTTCTGTACTCCAGCCAGCGCTCGAGAGGACACGCACTCCGCCGTCGTGCGGCCGCTCTCTGCTGTCCTCACTGCACTCGCACCCCCCTCGTGCTCACGCGCTGCTCTTGAGGACTCTGCACGAGACGTCCCTCCCGCCCCGAGGCTGGCGTGTTCACCACACGCAGGCAACCGCACCTGCGATCCATATCTCCCCACACCTCCCCACATCTCCCCACATCTCCCCACATCTCCCCGCATCTCCCCACACCTCCCCACACCTCCCACATCTCCCCGCATCTCGCCCGCAGGCACGCCGCACCTGCGCTCCAACTTTGCGTGGGAGAGCGCCATCCTGCCGATGAGCGAGACGCTCGCCTCCATCGAGAGCAGCGCCTCGCCCTGCCCGCTCGAGCGCGCGCTGCACCCGGAGGACCGAGATCCGCCGAGATCCGCCGAGATGCCGCCGAGATCCGCCTAGATCCGCCGAGATCCGCCGAGATCCGCCGGGCAGCAAGACTTGGTGGCGGCTGCTCGCCGAGGAGAGCGTGTCCGGCCCAACGAGCGTACGCCCTGAGCCCTTCTCGGAGCCTCTTCTCGGACTCTCTCCCCCGCAGGACCGGCCGCTCGCGCTGCAGCTGCTCGTCTCCATCCCCCTCCTCGCGCCCGGCACCGAGTACTCGCTGCAGCTGCCGGCCCTAGAAGCGGAGCCCGCACTCTCGCACTCCAACAACCACGCTCGAGAGGACACGCACTCAGCCGTACTCGGCCGTACTCCGCTGTACTCACTGTGTCTGTGTCGCTCGTACTCACGCGCTGCTCTGAAGACTCTGCACGACACCGTGCTCCCGCCCCGAGGCTGGCGGACTCAGCACGTAGGCTGCCCATATCTCCCCATATCTCCCCATATCTCCCGCCCCGAGGCTGGCGGACTCAGCACGTAGGTTGCCGGTACCGCTCCGGCTGTATGACCGCTGCTACCACGACTACCGCCCCTGCCAGCTCCTCTCCCGCATGAGCCTCTCCCCCGACGGGCAGAGCTGGGCCTGCTCCGTCGACCAATCTCGGCCAATCTCGTGTGACCTCGCGTGACCTCGTCAGGCGGAGCTGGACTTCCTCCGTCGAGCTCCTCCCGCTGCCGCCCTCGTACGCGCTCCACGCCGTCCCCGCCCGGGTCGGCCCTCACCCCCTCGGTGCGTCAGCCTAGAGGTGCTAGATGTGCAGCGCAGATGTGCAAGGCACCGCCTCCGAACGACAGCGTCGGGACAGCCAGAGGCATGTGGGCATGGGCGAGACTAAGCACACGCACACGCGCACGCGCTGCGAGAGCGTCGGCATGCCTGGCCGGTGGTCGCCATGCTTGGCACTCGACGCAACGCCCCTCTAGAAGGGGGGGGGACCACGGACATGGACACTCACTCTCTCCGACTCGCCCACCGACCGACCGCGAGGGGGGGCCAACACACGCATTCCCGGGTGCCCGGCCGCCTCCCCCGGTTGCATCCCCCGGCTGCACCCCCCGCGTCCCCGCCCCAAGGCATCGCACGAGCAGCCCCCTCCCCCTCCCCCTGCACGCGCGCACCCTACCGACCCAGCACCCGAATCCCCTCCCCCCTTCCCCTGCACGCGCGCACCCTACCGACCCAGCACCCGAATCCCCTCCCCCCTTCCCCTGCACGCGCGCACCCTACCGACCCAGCACCCGAATCCCCTCCCCCTTCCCTCTGCAGGCGCGCACCCTACCGACCCAGCACCCGAATCCCCTCCCCCCTTCCCTCTGCAGGCGCGCACCCGCCGCCGGGACATCCCGCCGTGCAGTGCGCGCACCTTCCTCCTCCCAGCCAGCGAGCCAGCGCGTCTCTGGCGGGAGGGGCAGGCACCCCCGCCGTCGGCCCGCTCGCGGCCTCGCCCGTCCCCCCCGGCCTCGCTTCTGCGGGCGTTGCTTCTGCGGGCGTTGCTTCTGCGGGCGTTGCTTCTGAGGGCGTTGCTTCTGAGGGCGTTGCTTCTGAGGGCGTTGCTTCTGAGGGCGTTGCTTCTGAGGGCGTTGCTTCTGAGGGCGCGCTGCTAATGAGCGACCTGATGAGCGAGGTGGCGTCCAGCGTCCTCGAGCCGTGGGTGGGGCAGTCGCTCTCTCTAGACACGCTCGAGTCGTGCTTCGACGCCCTCTCGTCGGAGGCGGTCGCCGAGATGGAGATGCAGCCGAGATCGAGCAAGATACAGCCGAGATAGAGCGAGATGCAGCCGAGGTACCGGCGTCCTCTCGTTGGAGGCGGCCAGCCTGGGACGGGCACCCTCCTCGCACACAGCGAGAGGGGCGGGGGGCGTAGCGTGCCCCACAGCGACGCTGGGGGCGGGGCTGGCGCAGCAGGCGCACCTCCACCGCCGACTCCAGCCGCCCAGCGCATCCCGAGCGGCGGGTCGGTCCCCCCCTGCGCCAGGCGATCGCCCTCGTCACCCTGCACGGCCTCGAGGAGGGGCCGGTCCGGCCAAAGTTCGAGCGCGTCTCGCGCCGGCTGGTCGACGCGTGGTGCGACTGGTTCCCGGGCGCGCGGGACGTGGTGCTGGAGGTGAGAGTAGCCCGGCAGGAGCCCTCCCACTCCGTCACATGCACAACATGTCCATGACATGTCCATGACATGTCCACGTGCATGTCGTGCTCCACACTCCTCTGCTCCACACCGCTGTGCCCACACACAGCCTGGGGCTCACACTGCGGCCCTGTGGCGAGTGCCCCCCACGGGCCTTGCTACACGAGTGCCGCCCCTGGCTCCTACCGCCCTGCACCTCTAGATTCGGGTACTGGGTCGGTAGGGTACCCTAGGAGTGGGGTACCCAAACCCTACCGGCTTAGCGACGAGGGTGGCCGAGCCCCCCGCTACCTTGCGCAGGCGGAGGCGGGCCGCCCGCCGGGTGGCGGCGGCAGCTTGCTCGACGACTCGGCGTCCCTCGCCGCCCTGGCGGACAAGCTCTTCAGCCTGGTGATCCTCCCCTCCATTGGCGACGCCGCGGCGCACGACCTGCTCGACATGGCGACTCTATTAATTAACCATAACTATTAATAACGATTAATTCTTAATTAGGCGCACGACCTGCTCGACATGGCGACTCTATTAATTAACCATAACTATTAATAACGATTAATTATTAATTAGGCGCACGACCTGCTCGACATGGCGACTCTATTAATTAACCATAACTATTAATAACGATTAATTATTAATTAGGCGCACGACCTGCTCGACATGGCGACTCTATTAATTAACCATAACTATTAATAACGATTAATTATTAATTAGGCGCACGACCTGCTCGACATGGCGACGCACGGGCAGGCGAGGTCGCGCACCCGCTTCAACGGGCGCATCCTCGCGGCCAAGGCCGTGGAGACGAGCATTGCGGGCTGCTACCTCGTACACTTTAGTAGCGAGGACGCCGCCGCCGCCGACGAGGCGGAGGACGCCGCCGCCGCCGCTGCTGTGGAGGACGCGGGCGCCGCCGCCGCAGCCCCCGCCGCCACCGCCGCCGCTTGGGGCGGCCCCGCCTCCGAGGAAGCCTCGCTTGCACACTGCGCCTCGATACCGCCCTCGCCGCCCGCGCCCGCGCTCCCAGCGCCGAAGCCGGCCGGCTCCAAGCAGGGCGGCGGCGGCGGCAGGCCGCAGCGGCTCAGCGGCGACGCGCGCCTCGCCGCGCGCCTCAAGCCTGCGGCTTTCGCCAGCCTGCTCGCCCTGTGTGTGGCCGCCGCTGGCAGTGAGGGGCCCGATCCAGGGCTTCTTTTGGCCGCACAGGCGCCCCTGGCACACGCCCAAGCGGGGGGGGGGGGGGGGGGCCCCTTTGGGCCCCCCATGGAAACGGGGGAGGGGGGGGGGAAAAAAGGTGGGTAAGGGGGCTGGGAGGAAGGGAAATAGGGAAGGGAAAAAGGGGGGAAGGGGGGAAAAAAGGGGGGGGGGGGGGTTCCCGCTCCAACCCCGGGGGGGGGGGGGCCCCGGAAGGGGGCAAAACCCTTGGGTTTAAGAACCACCCCCTTGGGGGGGGGCACGCCGGGGCCTTTTTGGAATTTTTTCTTTTTATCGGGGGAAAATTT